ATTTTCCCGCGGTAAAAAGTATCCTGTGTAGGTATGTTGACCGGGATAACCAGCTATCACCATACCAAATTTCATCAAAATCCCTCCAGTGGCTTTTCTGCGAAGCAGGACAGACAGACAGACAAAAATTATAAAATCTATATATGCTGCCTCTGTACCGATTAAAATGTTTATTTCAATGAGATTTTCCAAAAAATATTTAATGTACCTACAGATTCGGCTTAGTTACAATTTTATTATATGTATAGATGTGCCATCAGTAAAATATCAAAATGATTGATAGATGGCAGATGTAGGTACGAAAATAAAAAAGTTTGAAAAAATAAAACAAAAATTGTAGTTCTACAATTATTCTTTATTTCTTAAATAGTATTTGTATTTTATCTTAGAGATTACACCTTAAACTTACAATATTTTCTAAATCTATTTAAAAACTACGAAAAAAAAAGTAAAAAAAAAACGATAACCTATTTGAAAAATGGCATAAAAATATAACGGGCTACACATATACATAGAATTTTTACTTCTTAAAGCAAACTAAAATAAATTCATTAAAAAGCTATTTATTAAAACAATCCTTATTTTATGTATATCCATCGATAACTTACCACAGATCTAATAACAAAAAAAAAAACATTTAAAAAAAAACATTTTAAACCAAGTATATGGCAAGACATTTTAAAAACTTAAATACTTAAAAATTAATGTTCCCTAACTCCAATAAAATATTGTGATTTTATTTTCTATCGTGAAGTATTCACGTGACACTACTAATTTATATCTAATATTTTAATTATCTATATTAATAGGCTGTATAGATGAGGTTCTTAGACCATATTTGTTTACATTTAAAGGAATATTTGTTTGACAATAAAAAACAATATGTTGTAAAAATATATATATGAAAGAGTGCGTGTATGAATGTGGCCATCATCATCTTCTTTAGGCCATCAATATTTTGTGTTAAATTAAATTTATGTTTTAAACAATAAGGATAGGAGACATACAAATTTTTTTTTTTTAATCGATTTAAAAAAGGAAAAATTTGACTCCATATGACTGAGAAGAAAGCTATAAAAAAGAATGGCACTTTATATTATACTAGCATTGCCCGCGGCTCCACCCGCTTTCAGATGAGAAAAACCAATTTACATATTAGTATACTCTTACATTGCAGTTTTTGTATTTTTTCTCATAAATGAGATATTTTCCCGCGGTAAAAAGTATGTTGACCCGCTTATCCAGCTATCACCATACCAAATTTCATCAAAATCCCTCCAGTGGTTTTTCCGTGATGCAGTAACAGACAGACAGACACAAAAATTCTAATAACTACAGATTCGGCCTCTGTATCGATAATAATGTTTATTTCAATAAGATTTTCCAAAAAATATTTAATGTACAGATTCGGCTTAGTTACGATTTTATTATATGTATACATTCAACGGATGATTTAACTTAAAAAAGGAGGATGACTGTAAGTCTTAGGTGTATATAACATAGTGTAGCAGATGTTAGCTTGTTAGTTAAAAGGCCTTATTAGCAGAGTTCCATTATTCTAAAGCCGTAAACATTGTATGAGAGTTGTATCATTGTATACTTTTTATCGCGGGAAAATATCTCATTTGTGAGAAAAACTGCAATGTAAGAGTATCTATACTAATATGTAAAACCTGAGATTTGGTTTTTGGTCATCTAAAGGCGGGCGGAGCCGCGGGCAATGCTAGTATAGTATAAATATTATACAGAAGCGGGCGTTGACATCCGCAACACAGGTTATACTTTTGCAGTATCATCGTAGCCATTGTTTTAGTGTATAGGTAGGTACGTATAAAATAGTAACTAACTAAATAAATTTCAATTACTAATTAAATTCTAACTGTCTGTAAGCGGTTTTTTAACCTAAGTGAATTTGGAGAGACGATGTATATGAAGGTACACATAATTCAAACTCGATAAGACAACATGTAAATATTATAAGTAAATCATAAAAAAAAAATGGAATTTAAAACTGATTGTCAGTATTTTCAACAGTCCACGCGAGCGTAGCCGCGGACAGAAAGCTATAACGAAATGAGAATGGCACTTTATATATGTAATCTATACATATATAATAAAATTGTAATGAAGCCGAATCTGTGCGTTAAATATTTTTTGAAAAATCTTACCGAAATAAACATTATTACCGATACAGGGACCGAATTTATAGTTTTTAGATTTTTTGTCTGTCTGTCTGTTACCGCATCACAGAAAAACCACTGGAGTGATTTTGATGAAATTTGGTATGGTGATAGCTGGTTATCCGGGTCAACATATAGGATACTTTTTACTGCGGGAAAATGTCTAATTTCTGAGAAAAAATACAAAAAAAGCAATGTAAGAGTATACTATTTGTTAGATTTTTGTTTCATTTAATATTATTAATTCAATTATGTTTTGCACCTACTCTCCTAACTTTCATATATGTATTTTAGTAACATTGGAAACTGTTATTGGTTAGGTTTTGTTATATCCTATTTCTACTGGTGTACCCTGAGATCTCTACCAAAATTCAGCTCTGTCGGAGTTTTTGTTATTTGATCACTATTTGTATGTCTAAATTGACCGGACTATAATATGAAACACGAATTTATTTTTGCAAATAATTATGTATGTATTGCAAAAACGTAAAAAAAAATTTAGTGTGTAAATATGTTAGTAAACTTAAACAGCTTTTATTGGTAATTTGAACGCGGGCGAAGCCGCGGGTTCTGCTAGTGTATAAAACAAAGTCGGATCTGTTACAACACTTATAAATCGAGAACTGCTCGACCGGGTTCTTCTGCTGGATTCTTCAACCCGAATATCGGAAGAACTAATAAAAGTTAAAACATCGGAAAAATTCACGCAAAAAATGGTTGAAAAAATAAATCTATTCCATATTAAGCATCAAAACGTACCTAGGGACGAATCTGAGCGAAGAAATGTTAATTATGGATATTATTATTGTAACGTAACTGCCCAACGTGACCGTTTCATTATGTCATGGCCTAAAGAAGTGTCACTTTAAAAAATAAATATTATAATGAAGAACTAAAGCTTGTTATATATCTCATACCATCAAAAATATATCTATCACTATAAAAATAATGTAATGTTCAAAACAAAATGTCATTTAACTCTTAAAATAATTAAGTACTGAAGTGGAATGTCTGCACATTTTTTCCCTATAATATGTAAAAACATGTTCGTTTTAATATTTCTAACGATAAAATTAAAATTTGTGCCAAGAGAAAATATTAAAAAAAAAACTAAATTTACATTAAGATTATTAAATCTGTTCGAGATTAAAATTGAAAATCTTACAACGATCATGGTGTAAAATGTCAAATATTAAATACTCATTTTAATATCCTTTTTCAGAAAACAAACCCTATAATGACGTTTTGAGTATCTTATAATATCTTAAATTAAAAAAAAATGACCCTATAATATCTGTACAGTTCAATTATAAAATACAGGCAAAATTAACAAAATAGCTACCGTTTGCATTAAAAAAATAATCAAAAAATATTCTTTTTCAATACTAAAGTGTCACTTTAGCGAAGCTTTATTTAAGTGGAAATAAAAATATAACTTCTTCACTCGATAGAAACTGCTATGAAATTAAATAAAAGAGAGACGTTTAGTGATAATTACAATAAATAATATTAAATACGGCTTAAAATATAAAAAGGTTGTTTTTACTAGAGATGGGCCGACCATTAGTTTTGCCGACTAGCCGACTAGACTGGTCGGTTGGACAAAGTTTGACTAATCGGTTCCTGCCTATAGGTTATATTTCTTTTAATAAAGAATACACAGTGTTTGAAACTGTGATTCAATCGTAAATAATAAACAGGTAATAAATAATAAATATTTTTTTTTTGAAGTTTTACTTCTTTTGGGACGTTTGGAAGATGAAATTATGAGAGTAAAATTTTTACCATGAGCGCGCACACCGACAGCCAAAAAGCGCCATGATGCTGTTAATTGCATTGCTTTTACAAACAGAGAGTTGTGACATACGGGATGAAATCTTTAGCTATTTTTGTTCTGTTACGTCAAAGAAGTATAACTTCTTACGTGCGTACATAAGTACACACACGTTTGTTTTTGTTAATCTTAGTCATATTAGTACTAAGTCTTCTATTCCTTCCTTCGTTCCTATTCCTAGATTATATTGCCAATGATTGTAATATAAATAATAATTAGTAATAATTACGGAATTTCATTTCAGTCATTATATGTATATTGAAAGGGGCCCACTATCCGCCACATTTATATTCGGCGACTAGTCGGTGCTTTGTGCCGACTAGTCAACTAATCGGCCGTTAGTCGGTACATCTCTAGTTTTTACATATAAATAGAAATTGCAAATAACGACCATTTTAAAATTGAAATTTGAGCAATGAAGCAATAAACAAATTAATTATTTTCTGCACTAAATCTTAAGAGAAATATTAAAAAAAATATATATATACAGCATTAATAAAAAACAAATTACAATACGATTATTTTTTATATATAATTTCTTAGTTAATGGGATTCAAAGTGATATAAAGTTAATTAGACAACACTTTACTAATATAAAACAAATTTCATTTATAAGGACGGATGCATTTAATTGCACTTTTAGGAATGTATTTTTATATAGTATAATATAATAATATGAACGTTAATTTAAAAAAAAGTTATGGGACGTTAAAAAAAGGGCGGAATACAAACATACATACAAATTAATATTTATCTGTTTGTCCATACATATGTCAAAGATTTTGACAATCTTTTTTGTGACAAACCTGACATTATAAGATAATACTTAATTATCTATATCTATATATTTTTTATGATTCAATTAAAAACATACTAAAATAGACCTAACCCTTAGATTACGAGTTAAAATTGTGATTTTTAATAGAGATTCAATAAAATCTTAGTAAAGAAGTAAATAACTATCATAATTTATTTATTTATATTTAATTACGACAATCTCTAAATATATGAATGTTGAACTCAACGAATGGTAGTTTGTGGTCTGGGCTTAGGTAGCATAGGTCCTGAAAAAAAACAGTTTTTTTTTTAAATTAAAAAGATTTTTTTGTTAATAATAAAATTATATTTTTTTAATAAAAATGTATGGATTAACCAAAAATCGTGGCCATTAAATTAAAATTCTTTTTAAATATTATTATTGGTATCATAGAATTGATCAAAACTTCTATATAATCTAATGAAATATTATAAATTAAATCTACGCGGAAATGAAAACCATTTTTAACCGTATCACGTGACTTAAAAAAAAGGCAAGCGCGAAATCAGAAGGATTCCATTTTTGCCTATTTCCTGCGGAACCCTATAAAAGGTTTCTATACATAAATATATTTATATATTTAAAATACCTTTAAGGGCATAAATCCTGCGCGTATCTTCATCCTTCTATCCATATTGCATTCCAACGTCATCTTCGAGGTCCAATGGTCGCCAGTGGGTATCGGCTTCGCTATTTCCCTGATGGCTTGACAGTTTTTGATGTTGTCGTATTTGCAGTGTAGATCGCAGAGACGGATCTCCTTCAGTTTTGATGATCTGTTAGGAAAGATTAGATACTTATTAGGTTATGTGTTTTTGTACTTGTTTTACTACATGACACCTTTACAACAATATAAAAATCTATACAAAATTAAATATATTTATGTATATGTTAATAAATAAAATGACAGTTATGTCCGTCAACCCCAAAAGCCGAATGGCATACAAAAGTACGTACATCTGTACTTATTACTTAATATTATAAAGAGGATTTTTTTTTGTTTGTTTGTACCGAATAAGCTCCTAAACTCATCATCATCATCTCCCTGCCCATTTACCAATTACTTGGGGTCGGCGAAGTACATTTTCCGTACCGCTAATAGGTAATGGCAAACTACTGAATCGATTTAGATGAAATTTGGTAAGAAGATAGTTTGAGACAACAAATTGTTATTCTAGAGGTTTTTTAACATTAATGTCCCCGAACCGATTTCGGGCACGTCGTATCTGACGCCGTACACGCCAGCCACTAGACCATCGTGGTAGCTTAGGACGATTGTATAGGCAAGTAGACTGTAGTACCTAATTCAAGGCTACCTACACTGTGTTCGCCGAATGAACCAAGCACTGAGATTTTGCGCTTCCACGTGATTAGTTGCAGATAAAACGCTTAGGCCGCGATTACAATGCAAGTCTAATTTAGCCCGTCGTTGCATTCCGTACCGTTCAGACGTCTCTCGTGTAGGTACCTGATTTATTATCAATGTAAGAGATGACGGTGATACGTCGGAAAGTGAAAATTAATAAATAATGTATACAAATATTTAAAAACACAGTTATTTTTACTTTAATGTTGATTTGATTTTATTACAAATTATTAATAATTCCTCACTAAAGCATTAGCAACATGAACGAGCCCTATGATTTCAAACCAGTTGCAAGCGTTAGTGGATGGAGCTAGACAGTTTTCTGTCCTTATCAATTTGTATGCTAATGTGGGACAGAGAAAGCGTTTTCACTCCGTGAATAGAGTATAAACCCTAAACTTTACTCACCTGAAGGTAACATCCAGATGTTTCTGATGCAGACAGTGGGAGAGCGGCATCTCGTACGTGTAGTTGTGTAACGCGCGCGCGCACACGCGCTCGGAGAACACGCTCGCGTTTATCACGCTCTTGCTCGACACGCCCACCGAGATCGAATCGCATTCTGGAATATATTCTGTTTTATATTATTTATTAATTCTTTTCAAATCGTACATACATACAGATAAATAAAATTGAAGTGTATGTTTGTAATCTCAAAGTAACAGCGTTTTACTAAATACATATTATGAAATTATATACGGTACTTATAAGAAAAATACTAATTTTTAAATTTTTGTCTCTCTGTCTGTTTGTTCCGGATAATCTCTGAAACGGCTCGAAGGATTTTAACGGGACTTTCACTGGAACATAGCTGATGTTATAGGGAGTATTAAGTATAAGTATGGATTGTATACTGTAATAAAACATAACTCACCTGTAATCTCTTCGGACTGTTCTATAACCATTTCCTCGGAACTTCTCAATAAAGCTTCATTGGTTTCTCTCAACTTTCTTTCTGGAACATTCCTCTTAACCCTCCCTATTTCTCCTCTCTCCGTTCCATTCACTTTATTCCCATCCAAATAATTAGATTCGGCTATTTCTTCATGTATTATGTTTTTCAATTCGTCTTTTTGCGGTTTCGTCGTATTTTTTTCCGGTATGACTGGAGTTAACGGTTTGTCTTTTATTTCTAAAGGTCGGAAAGTTTCATTCGTCTCTTTGTCGGATTTGGAACGTTCTAGAGGTTCTTGGTTTTCATACGTCTGTGGGGGATCCAGGCCGCATGACGACTATAATATATGGGAATATATGGTCTTTATTTATATTATAATCAAATATAATATATGGGAATACATATATTGTTTTTATTTATATTATTATATTTAAATTTAGAAGTAAAAATTTAAATTGATTTTTTTGTTAAAAAAAATAAAACTCAGGACATAAATTCCAAAACTTGATAGGGTTCTTAGAGTACAATTTTACCTCAACTCCAAAAATATACATTACATTACATTTTCTCTCTTTATAATTCCTTGCAAAAGAAATAGTTTTTAATTATAAATGTTAACTGAATTCACAATCCTTAAGCGGGTTTTCTACCCTTAGAGATGATTTTTTTTTAAATTTATGTACTACCTTTGAGGTAGATTAAATAAATTGTAATAAAAATTCATTCAATACAATTAAAAATTTAATGGCTTCAAAACGTGTCAGTTGAGTTTTTTCAGCATAGATTACTTCGAAAAAAATTAATGCAATATCCCACAAAAAAATGTATATACAAAATATTAGTAAGTACTTCCATCTTTAAAGGTGGTAAATGAATTAACTTTTGCAATTTTTTATAAAATAACATTATTCTTTCACCAATTATATAATAATAATCATCCAGACAAACAAGTAAATATGTAATCTTAACAGGGAATATGCGTGTAATTAACATAAAGGTGAAATATATTTTTTTATAATCTTTATTGCTTTTGAATTAAGCCTATATCAATGTTTTTAATGTAATTTTTTTATTAAGAAAATAATTATTAAAAAGTGCAAATATAGGTGGGAATTTCAAAATACTTGAAACGGACGCCATTGGTCAGACCGAATATGACGTCAGAGTATATCATAACAGAGCGATTAGCGATTTTATCTCTACAAATTGTGTCGTCATTTTTCTGTCTATACTGTGACGTCACGCCAAGCGCGTGAAATGGCGGACGTTTAAAGTATTCGTATCGGTATGATATAAAAAAAAATATACTAAATTTTAGTTTTTTTTAGAGCTGGATATTTTTATACAACTATACAACGATGTAAGCTATTTCATAAAAAAAACACGCATATTCACTATTGTAAAAATATATCATAAAAGAAATCTCACCAGAATGTATAGCAATAGTTTCGATATGTTATGTTCGAATTCCTTAGCAGCGTGAAAATAAATGTTATGATCAGTAAAATGTATGTTATCTATAAATAAAATATTATTTATTGTAAATGATGAGTGGGTGACTGAATGATAAATGGATGACTGATTGATGTATGACTGAATGATGTACGGATGACTGAATGATGTAAGGATGATTGAATGATGTACTCGTAAAAATGACTAAATGATTTCGTGAATGACTATATCATCATGTAGTATGTGTATGTCTTTTCTCACCTGACAGTCCGCGTCCAGCTCGTTGTCCGCGTTGGCCGAGAAGGCAGGAAAGGCGCAGCCTCCGCCCACGGGGGAGGCTGTGCGAGATGCTGACACTTGCGCTTGTTCTAGATCTGTTGGATGGACACGTACGTGTTTTTTTTATTTGAGTAAGTCTAAAACCCACAGACATACGTCCGTACCTTTTTGAGCATTTTTATGTTTTATTGTTGGATTCGTGCGTGTACAATTTCAGAATCAAAAGCTGGTGCGAGCAAAAAAGAAAAGCTGAACAAAACTATGGAGTCGGGTGAACTTTAAGAGTCCATCCAAATGGGGCGAGTGTGTTAGACACATACGTGTTAGTAATTATGATTGTTTTATTGTTGTTTTATTTAGAGAATTTTTACTTCTTGATTGCTGTAAAGCATTCGAGGCATCGGGAATCAAAAATCTAAATAAATCCGCGAAAAGATAGTTTAATTTGAAATGTCAAAATAAATCTAAGCAAGTATAATGGAAAAAATTGTTGTTTATAAAATTTTAAATGAGCCTACGTTAATAATAAAGAAATAATAAACTTTTAGGATATGTCAGTCCTATCGTTTCTTTATCTTAAACAAGCAGAGCCTAAAGAAAAAAGGTAGTTTTCATACAAACTTTCATCCACTTGGGGGTTGAATTTTGAAAAATCCTTCCTTAGTGGATACCTTCGTCATATGAGGAGTACGTGTGCAAAATTTCAATTTTATAGCCCTAAGGGTTTGGCCTGTGCATTTATATATCAATCAATCACTTTTGCCTTTTATTTATATAGAAAATGTAATTATGATGATGACAATAATATTCATGTGTATTATGAACAATTTTAATCATGGCGACTCGGTAAATGTTAAAGTGAGTTTTAACTATACAATGACCCTTGTCACGTCTAAAACTTTAGTGTCTCCTGTAACCATGATTGCTGTAAAGCCATTCGAAACGTCGGGAACCAAAAATCAGACAGACAGACAGACAGACAAAAATTCTAAAAACTATAGATTCGGCCTCTATAACGATAATAATGTCTATTTCAATAAGATTTTTCAAAAAATATTTAATGTACAGATTCGACTTGGTTAGAATTTTATTATATGTATAGATGTATATAGCACTTACTCAAAACATTTTTCATGAAATTCCTTGAAGCGTGCAAAGTGGTGGACGTCGAGTGTGTTTCGGGCATCGACGTGGTGTACTCTGGACTGGTTTTGTATGGACCTTTTTCTATACACAAAAAAAAACAATACAAAATATATTATTAATAAAATTTTGAATAACTATAGTTACAGGAGCTCGTGAAAAAAACTTTGACAAAATTATATTTTAGATATTATATCTGTACCATATTTTTTTTATAATTAAGAGGGAAAATTGCAATTGACACGATAATTAAATAAACAAAAAATCAAATATTTCCTCTCTATAATATATTTAGTATAGATAGAATAGATATGAAATCTATATCATATTTTGTTACAAATTAGAAAAAAAAAATCTTAAGTGGGACTAAAAAATTGTGCCAATTTATTTATTTATTAGGATTACCTTTAACGGTTTTCTTTGCAGTCGCGTGCTGTGATGCTTTTATATTCTGAAAAAAAAAATACAAAATATTATATTTAAAAAAAACAGCTAAATGTGACTCGCGTACGAAGGGATCCGTACCATATTATCTATAAAAACGGCAGAAAAATCATGTCTGTTTGGGAGCCCCCTTAAATATTTGTTTTATTTTAATTTAACTATTTATTTTTAAAGTGAATATATAACTAAATATTCTGAGAATATTTCAAGCGCTTACCTGTTGCCGTTATAAGTATCGAGCAAAAACGAGCAAAAAAATCACGTTTGTTGTATTGGAACCCCCTTGAAATATTTATTTTATTCTGTTTTTTAGTATTTGTTGTTATAGCGGCAACAGAAATACATCATCTGTGAAAATTTCAACTGTCTAACTATCACGGACACATGGACAGACAGACAGACGGACAGCGGAGTCTTAGTAATAGGGTCCCGTTTTACTCTTGGGTACGGAACCCTAAAAATACAAAATATTTTAAATAAAACTATCTTTTCGGATTTTGTCGCGGATTTATTTGCATTTTTATTTCCCGACGTTTCGAATGCTTTACAGCATCCATGGTCACGGGAGAGACTGAGGTGTTACATGTCTTGAAGGTATAGTAAAATCCGAAAAGATAGTTTTATTTAAAATGTCAAATATTCGCGTAAATCTAAGAAAGTAATACAAAATATATTAAAATATATATTTAAATAACTCATGCTATTAATTATTATACTACATATACAACCTATAACTTCGATATCCATCTACAATTATAAATTTGATAATTTAATTTAAAGGTAATTTCAATCCCCTTATTTATTTAACTGAATCCCGTGGGATTTTGACTTTTATATTGATATAACTACAATCACCTTAATATTATAATATATTTTCTATTAAAAGGCAGCGTTAGCTCAGTGGTAGCGCGCTCGCTTAGAAACCTGAGTGAAGCGGGTTCAAATTCCGGGTCTCGCACCTCTGATATTCTCATGTGCGAATCATTCCCAACATGATTACCACTTGTCTTGCAGTGAAGGAAAACATCGTGAGAAAACCTGCATGTCTGAGAGAATCCAGCAAGTTTTCGAAAACCCACCCCCAGCAGTGGGACGTTAAAAGAGCTGAAACCATACATTAATATATTGATATCTGGACATATAACTCACGTGTATCTGGTTGTGGTCGAGCGAGTACGGCTTGCCGTACTGCGGGTAGGGCTTGTGCTGCAGCCGGCCCTCGCGCATGGAGACCAGCTCCTGGTGCTCGCGGAAGTACAGCGCTGACATCACCACCAGGCTGGTGGGGGGAGGTGGATCATTAGTTATGTGTGTGTGTTTGTTCTTCACATTGTTAACAAAAATCTATACTAATACTAGCTACCTTGATTCCCCATACTAACTTTCTTCCTGATTTTCACCCCCTTAAGTGATGATTTCTGGGGTAAAAAATATCCTATATCCTTCCCAGGGTCTCAAACTATCTTGTTACCAAATTTCATCTAAATCGGTTCAGTAGGTCAAGAGATTACCACCTACAACGTCACAAACTCACAAACTTTATCTTTTTATAATATTAGTATAGACTAGTGACTTACAATCGCTTCGTTCGGGTTCGTTCCTAAAAACTTTTTAACGGTTAGTATGGAGTAGATAGTCTATGTAGGTATGATGAATTGTAGTGGGTTGTATTATAACGTGTATTCCCGTGGGAATGAGATAATCTTCCGCGGTAAAAAGTAACCTATGTCACTCTCCGGCTCTCCAACTACCTCCATACAAAAAATCACGTCAATCCGTCTCTCTGTTTCGACGTAAAAGATAGACAAACAAACACACTTTCACATTTATAATACTAAGATAGGCATAACACAAAGAATTATATTTAGAAATATAGATTATAAATACTCACCACACAGCCATTATAAAAATTAATATAGTAATAACGATCTGTAAAAACTTATTAGAAATCAATTCGCCATTGGAATCGCCATATTTATATTTTCTTCTACAGCAAAAAGCCATAGAGTTATTTCTAAAACTGTCTTCATCTTTCAACCATAGACAAGTATCTTTCTTTTTCGACACCGTACTATAATTTTCTTCTGGCATCTTTTGTATATTATCCACTGCACTTATATAAGTTGGGTAAGTTTTATTTTCTTTTTCGGGCTTATTATGATATCTGACACATGTCTTATTATAATTATAATATTTGCCATATTTTGAATAGCTTCCGTGACAATATTTGCATTGTTTTCGGGTAAATTTTGGGGAGTTGTGGCTTAGCTTGTGGCAACACTCGTGTTTTCGAATGCTTCGTGCGATATGCCTTATTTGGTCTATTGAAATGTTTCCATCGCTGTAAAACGATTTTGAAGATGCTGATATACTTGAAAAGCGGGAATCTGGAAAAGATATATTAATATTAACTCATATAAAACATACGAGCTTCCTTTTATTTACTTGTACTTTTACCCGTTTTTAAAATATCAAATAAAAAAAACTTATCATTTTAAAGAGTATCATCTTTTCGGATATTTTCGCAGTTTTATTTAATACAAAAAAAAATGTTATTGCAACAGTTTTCATTGCACACGGTTTTAAGGTCAAGTATCAACCCTAAAGCTATCTCCCGACTGACATACATACATAAAGTAAGTATGATAATCGGGAGGGCCTCCAATATATCCATTACATCCACAGTGAAAATGATTTCAAAAATGGAGTGCATTTTTTCGCAATGGCATTTTTTAAATCATTTTTGTAATTTTGTGGGTAGGCGCTGTCTGTAACCAATATTGCCTTTGAGACGTCTATAACCTTAGTCTGTCCCGTGACCATGTGCGCTGAAAAGCATTCGAAACGTCAGGAACTAAAAATTAGAATAAATCCGCTAAATAAACCGAAAAGATAGTTTCATTTAAAATGTCAAATATTCGCGTAAATCAAAAATAAAGCAGAAATCCTACCATTACTAATACTTGAGCGTGAGCTGTCCCGACGTTGTAACACATTAATCTTGCACAGCTTCTTATTGATCCTTTCCAACTGATCTATTCGAGACTCTAAGTTTCCCGTCACTTTGCACAACTCCTTCACAGCCCCAAGATTTTCCATGAAAATGCGATCCTGATAATAAAATTGCTGAGTTAATATATTTCTTTGATAAATACTCTTACATTATATTGTTTAGAATATATTGTTTAGATTATTTTTTTAATTATATGAAATTAGTAGTTTTAAGTGTAGTAATATAAATATATGAAATGCTATCCGTTGTTAAGAGCATCACTTGAGAACGACGTTTTTTTTTTGAAATGATTGTAAATAGTTCAAATATGATATTTTTTAGTGGAAAACAGAGAAATGGGTTGATTTTTGTTTATTGAATAACTCGTTTAGTTTCAATTTTTTACGAAAAATAGTTATTACAAAAGTTATTTGAAATTGTTATATCGATATTTTTCGATTTTACCCGAAAAGAGGATGTGAATTTTTGTTTATTGAACGACTCGTTTGTTTTTAATTTTACGCGAAAAATTGTAATAAGCAAAGTTGTTTAAAATGAAGTATCCTACAATTTTAGCCCGTATCAATTTTTCGTAGGATCGTTATTTTTCGATTTATACTTATGAAAAAAGGGGGTAAAACTTTTCGTGTAAAATTGAAAATAAACGAGTTATTCAAAAAAAAACAACCCTTAAATTCAAGATGACGGATGACGCAACTGGTTTGTTACCCTGAAAATCTAAATTTAGACTTCCAGTGACCCCCTCAAAGAATTCGGAAGGGAAATTGCTGTTAACATTTTTTGCAATGTTTTTTGGACTAATTCGACTGGACTACAACACTTACAACTACTCGGGGGTGATGGAGGATAACCCCCACCCCTTTATCCTCACCTTATTAACGACCAGGAACCTGGGTATCCCATCCCCATTGGGCAGCGCGACGTCGCCCGCCTCCTTGACGGCGTCGGGCAGCACGCGCCGCACCTCCTGCGCGAGCACGCCGGTGTCGGCCAGCGCGCCGCCCGCGCCCGCGCCCGCGCCCAGCAGGCCCGAGTGCTGGGCGAACGACGGGTCGTATGTGAACCTAGATAAATTACATTGGTATTGTTGAACTGAAAAGTTGTTACATTTATAATAAACTAGCGACTCCCCATACAAACTTTCACCCCTATGTTCACCCCTTTAAATGATGATTTTCAGGATAAAAACTATGTCCTGTCTTTCCCAGGGTTTCAAACTATCTTCTTACCAAATTTCATCTAAATCGGTTTAGTAGTTTCGGAGCCTACTCGATACAAACAAACAAAAGAAAGTCCTCTTTATAATATTTGAATAGGTTGATAAATTGACAATAATTGCTTTTTGAATCAAAAAAAAAAATTCACGACTAAAAACTTTTTTTGCATGGCGTGTGTCAATCAGAGATAAATGAGCGAGAGAAAGTGAGTGAGCTAGAAGTGACGTATATGAGAAAGAGAAATGAAAAATATATAGAGATAGAGAGAGAGAGAGGGGGGGGGGGGAGATTATAATAAGAGAATGATTAATTAAAAAAAATAAAGTAAAACTAACTTGACAACCCTGATGCTCTGCACGTTCTTCAGTTGCTGCGCGGTGTCCAGCTCCTCGATGTTGTGCTTCGCGCGCGCGTCCGACGGGTGCACGATGTGGCCCATCACCTTGAGGTTACCTGGCAATATACATAATATATAAATAAATAAATATTTTGGTACATTGCCATACAGCACCATCTAGTTCCATGGTAAGCTACGAGGCTTGTGTTATGGATACCAGATAGTTGATACACTACACTTATATAACTTTAAATACTAATTAGAAATATAAACACCCATGACTGGAGTACAAAAATTCGTGCTCATAACACAAATTAATGCCCCCAGCGGGACTCGAACCCGCGACCGCTGGCACAGCAAGTATGGTCACTACACACTAAACCATACGTGATATCATGTATGTTTCTGTAACATTTATAAATAAATTATAATAATTAAAATTTCATTGTGTTGCTTAGATTAGAGACTTATCTATACATATAATATAATAGAAGCAGTGGTAGCCCAGTGAAGTCTATACATATAATAAAAATATAACTAAGCCGAATCTGTACATTAAATATTTTTTGGAAAATCTTATTGAAATAAACATTATTATCGATACAGAGGCCGAATCTATAGTTTTTAGTTTTTTTCTGTCTATCTGTCTGTCTTTTCTTTCTGTTACCGCATCACAGAAAAACCACTCGAACGAAGGATTTTGATGAAATTTGATATGGTGATAGCTGGTTATCCGGGTTAACATATAGGATATTTTTTACCGCGGGAAAATATCTAATTTCTGAGAAAAAATACAAAATCGCATTGTAAGAGTATACTAATATGTAAAACCTAAGAATTTGGTTTTTGGTCATCTGAACGCGAGCGGAGCCGCGGGCAATGCCAGTGAAATATAAAATTATTCAAATATATGTATATAAGAGTCCTCACCATTTATAACACAGGATTCGTCAGGTCTGTCCGTGTTGATACCGACGCGGCCATTGAAGTGCACGCTGTTCTCTGAAACGCCACGTTGCCACCAGTTCTCTGTGCAGTCCGATTCGAACTGGCCCGGGTTCGATGCCTGTTGGGACATATGGTAAATCATAAATTTCCATACTTTCTTTGATACCCGCGAATATTTGCTTATTTAAATAGTATTTATCTTTTCAGATTTCGTTGCAGTTTAATTTTGATTTTTGGTTTCCGACATTTAGATTGCTGTAATCCATTCAAAACGTCATGTTTTGCCCTTGTTATTTACATAAACAATGCCCCCAGCGGGACGCGAACCCGCGACCGCCGGCACAGCAAGTAGGGTCACTACAAACTGAGACAAACGTATCGTGTATTATGGTACAAAAAGCGCAGATAAAAGTGTACTCTATGTACCTTTAATTCTAACATTTGCAGTAAAATAAAAGGCACAGGGCCGACAGCTTAACAAGCTCTCTGAGTTACCGCCAACTTTCCAACTTCGAACTATATCATGACAAAAAAACCCACTAGCCTTTGAACCAACTCGGAACTCAAACCTAGGACCTCTTGACTAGACCACCGAGGCAGCCACTAACATCTAATACATACCCTGACAATAATCCTATCACTGGCATGAGCCACCACCATGTGGTCAGCTTGCGAGCAGTGCGCCCTCAAGGCGACCACCAGCTGGAAGTGCCTCTGGTCGGGGTTGGGCCGGCCCTTCTTCCTCATGTTATTGTTTGTTGTTTCCGCAAAATGGAGACGCCCTACTGTGATCTTTGCACCCTCGCGACGGAGCTCCACTCTGTGAATGTATATATTTATTTATTTATTTATGTACCAGAAGAAAAACATAAAATTGAAAACAGATATCATATGTACAAAGAATGTCTTATCTCTTTAAGAGATCTCCACCAGAAACCCTCAAGCGTGAGAAAATATAAATAAGAATACACATATAGAAACATACATACATACGTACATAGATACTTACATACATACATATATCCATACATACATACAAATACTTTAAGAAATACATAATAAGGAAATCATGTGGAATGACTTAAGGCGCTCTTTTCCAGAATTTAGGATATTTTGAACCATTATAAAACCACGAATATAATACATATAGTTCTAAAATTCATACATGTTATAGTTAAGGATAATAGCTAAGTACCCGGAGAGGCCAAAACACGATTGGCAATAGTTCACTCGATAGAAAAAAAATTCAAAGAAAGGTCTAAAAATACCTTAAAATCTCTGATACACACAAAATACATTATTATATGATATGAAAGTTATACTCATAGATTTAGCTTGTCATTATTTACGTATTCGGAGAAACAGATTTTCATTTATTAACTTATATTTATGGCAATAGGCGAAAAGCAGATAAAATGAAACGGGTCGTCGCGCGCTGGCGCCTAGGGAGCAGCGATTCTGGAAAAGAGCGCCTTAAATAAAGTTCTTTTACGCAAGATATTTGTTATTTCTTCATACTATAACCAAGTTTTAATTCAATTCTAGCGGTGCCGTGTTAGCACAATTTACTAGATAAACCCATTGATTGATCCATGGCAGTAATGCTGTCAAATGCAAGGGTTATCAAAAATATGTTTCATAGTTAAAACACAATAGTGCCATCTCGTGGCAAGTTACAGTTATGACCGCCAACCCTAAATTCGTTTCACGAATGCCATACAAAGGTTATAATTACATAATTATAGACATTAAAAATCACTCACGGCACAGGATGAAACGGTCTCTTGGTTCTGTCCGATTGACTTTGTTCGATTCTAACTTCTTGGCTCGGATCTTCAGCCTGAAATTGAAATAAAAATAAGCGTGACAAACACCAATTTGTGATACTGTAGAACTGTTCTGTCAAAGTTTATCCATCTTTTTGAGGTTATCCTTGTTTTGGGACGTTTGAAATAAAATATGAGGTACGATGCGCACGAACACGGGCAGCCAAAAAGCGACATGATGAAGTTAGCTGATAGCGACATGATGAAGTTAGCTGCATTCCTTTTACAAACAGAGAGTTGTGACATACGGGATGAAATCTTTAGCTATTTCTGTTCTGTTACGCCAAAGAAGTATAACTTCTTTCGTGCGTATGTGTTAGCACAAAAAAAATTAAAAACGGCACTGTCAGTTAATTGTCAATTAAGTAAGAAACGAATGTCTGTTGATAAAGTTCATTCTTTTGTTAGAGTTAATGTTTACTTTTGAATTGGGAAATAATGATTTTAAAAATTTTCATTCTTTTAGATGTTTAAAAGAATATTTCATACTATTCTTTGCAAATATCTGAATTGGTCCTCTTAAAACTAATAGGTATATTAAAACCTAAAAGAAAGAGAAAAATAACAAAAAAGAAGGAAAAAGAACATACCTTGACCCCATAGAAGTGGATGCAGAAGTTGTTTATCTTCTTGAAGCCTTCATTAGTCTTTACATAATGCGGATCCCCTTGTATTTGTATTTGGCAGGTCACTTGGAAATGATTTTTCTTCTGGCAGACGAAAGCTTCATCTATTTGTGAGAAGTTGAAACCTTTATCGGCTCCTACTATATATGATAGTGTTGAACTAAAAGGCAAAATATAAAAAAAAAAAATGAATATCTTTAGAAGGTTGCTACTGGTAGATACTATGTTAAAGTGTATTACAATTAATGATCTAGTGCTTAGAGATTATTTAATCACTAAATTACAATAGTCTGGATATAGAAAACCTAAATAAATGATTTAGTCAAATACTAAACTTTATTTAATTACTAGCAGAACCCGCGGCTTCGCTTGCGCTAAAACTACAGAAAAACTCTAAAAACTTTCATTCGCTATTTTTCCCCCTTATGGGATGAATTTCGAAAAATGCTAAAACAACTAAGTATTCAATTAATTGTATTGAAGAGCATTTATACAAAGATAATGTGATCATAAATATTTTGATTTTATTTGGATTGTATTATAACGTGTTTTTCCGTGGGAAAGAGATAATCTCCCGTGATAATAAGTAGCCTATGTCACTCTCCAGCCGTCCAACTCCAGCCGTTTCGACGTGAAAGACAAACAAACAAACAAACACACTTTCACATTTATAACATTAAGTATGGAAGTATGGATGATGCTATAACAAAACACCTCGCCGTTTGAAAGTTAAATGTGTTAACGTAATAATTTCGTAAAAATCTACCATCGGCTTAAAATGCAGTTATGCTGAAAAAAATCAAGGCAATGGAGTTTAAAGTTGCCTCGTTTCATATATAAAAGTAAAGTCGTGCATCGTGCACTGACATCGTGGTTTCTTACTACATAAGTCCAACGCCAACTCACATTTGCCGATATTATTATATATTAACTAACCCAACAGACGGTAGACAGCTGTCTATATTATAATTTTTAGTTGTGGTCTTTAGGTTCATGAACTTTAAGATTCTCAAAATTTCGCAATTTTACGGGCAATATTTCAATATTTTTTTCTATTAAGAACATTTAACAATCAAATAGCCAGATCGGTTCAGCTTTGATGATACACTTACCAACAAACAGCATTACATTTTTACTCCTATATATAATACAATCTCCATACAAAAGGACAGAATACTAGTAGCTTTTTAAATCAATTATAATACTTACAGCGGCTTCAAGTTGCAATCATATAACGATTGCCACAAATTTTGCTGGAAAGGCGCAAATCGGATACATTGTAGAGGTATCTCGTCTCCAGCCTCCGACCCATCTACGGAGGGCGGTGGGCGGACCACTGCACTTTCTGGCGATAGGGCGGCTGGAAATTGTATTTTACTGTACATATTTCTAAATTATTAAAATTAAGTCGTATTATAATATTAAATTCCTCGACCACGCTGAGTTTGATTTTGTTAGAGCTAAACTCAGATTTTACTGTACAGAACAATAGGTATATGGTTTTCAATAACCATTTTATCTAGCAAGGTAGGTTTTATAAAAGTATTGCGAAAATAAGCTACTGGTATGAAGATAGAAATTTATATGTGAATCAAGTTGGAATATAATTGTCCTTTCTGAGAAATTTTGTAATAGGTACTATAAATGCGAAGGGCATTTAGTGACGAATTCAATTTTTGGTATAAAAAGGACTCATGCAATAGAATTTAAAGAGAAAAAATTAAAAAAAAATAACTCAAATACGCACACCAAAAAATGTTAATTACCTGGTTCACACTTCACTTGTGAATTAAAATCTTGTGAGTGTTTCCTCTTCTTCCCACTGGGCTCCTGTAGATTTGTGTACACTGGGGTCAAATTTTCATGGCCCAAAGCCACTAGTTGGGGGTTGATCATCCCCTGCTCTAACTCTGGTAGGTCCACCCTCATCTGATTGTAACGATTTTGGTAGGAAATTGGGTCTGATAGGGTCATATCATGTCGGACCGTTCTTAGACCTAATTCAACTATGTTAGGGTCTTGTGGTAATATAACCACATCGTTGAGATTACTTCTCAACACTTCATGGTCGATGTTATCAGTTTTCAATTCCTCATATATATATTCGCCATTTTGTTGTAGGATTTCGTGTGATGTAATGTGATCTGGGACTAGCATATAATCTGTTCCAAGTACTGTTTGTGATACAGCAATTGTGTGGGAGACTTGGGTGTCTGGACTGTATGGGTTTTCTGAGCCTGAGTCTGGCGGACTTTCTGGTAGCTGGTGGCCCCTAGTTAATAAAAGATAATTATATTAAATAATATAGATAGCATGCTTACCACAACGCCAAGCTGACATGACTTGTAAAGTAAATATTAAGTGTGCATTTGTTCCTTTAAGAATTTGAAAAGTCCTAAAGTTCCTATTTTAATTCCTAGGTTCCAAATATTTTATTGTTTAAATTCGATAAGCATTGCACTAATAATTACTACGAACACTCATTTCCCTAATATACTGAAATGAAAACCAAAATGTAGAGCAAACATAGCGAATTGACTGACCTGCTTTAAAATCTCTATATATATAATAAAATTGTATCTATGCCGAATCTGTACATTAAATATTTTTTGGAAAATCTTATTGAAATAAACATTATTATCAATACAAAGGCGGAATCTATAGTTTTTAGATTTTGTGCCTGTCTGTCTGTCTGTTACCGCATCACGGAAAACCACTAGAGGGATTTTTATGAAATTTGGTATGGTGATTGCTGGTTATCCGGGTTAACATATAGGATACTTTTTACCGCGGGAAAATGTCTCATTTCAGAAAAAAATACACAAAGTGCATGGTAAGAGTATACTAATATGTAAAACCTAAGAATTTGGTTTTTGGTAATCTGAACCCGGGCGGAGCCGCGGGCAATCTCGACCTATGTACTAAATATCCAAATTAGTTCATCGGTTCTAGCGCAAAGGAGTTACAAACATACACACATTCGCATTTAATAGTAGCTAATTAGCTATATAAAAACTCACCCGATACGGCGTGCATCGATGGGTTGCGGCGGGTAACATCCTTCACCGACGGGGGCCATGAACGCCTCCAACTCGTCTATAAGGCCCTGACCTGTAACAAAAGAACATATAAAATAAAACTAACGATGTTATGGAAAATAAAATTGGATAGAGAAAAAATCTGATTTGATTAATCTGCTTGGTATTTCAAACATATTAATTATCACTTATTATAGCTTTTTCCAATATCCGACAAAGTTCCTACGGGAATTAGGGAATATATAAAAAAGTCTACGTCTGGAACATAAACTATAAGTATTTACGCATAAAATCACAAAATATAGCCCTAATTTTATATAAAAACAGTCATTAACTATTTAAGAATGGTAAAATTAGACTACTCACGTTGAAACGACTTGGATTTGGATGTTGTAGAAATAGTCTGCTGTTTGATACCTTGGGACGGGCCCGGGCGAAGCGACGTTAATTTGCTATTATATTATCCTAGCTTCGCTCGGGTGCGTCACTAGGTACCTTTTGTATTTATAATATTATAAACAGAGAGCGCCATCTTTTGGCAAAGTTTAATACTAGCAATAGCCTACAGGTCTATCTGTGTAGTAAATTTCATCTAAATCGGTCAAGCGGTTCAAGCGTGAAGGAGTAATAAACATGCATACACAAAACACGTTCATAATATTAATGTTATACACGTTTTATTTCATTTTTAGAATGAACCTATGATCTTTGCCCTAATAAGCAGAGTTGCACCACTGAGCCGCAATGATAGGTATATGACATAGTTAACATAAAACGGATTTCCAATTCATGAGAAAGAAAGAAATAAATGTCAGCACGCAGTTAATTACAAAGTAATAAATAAAACTTTTCGTGTGTTTTATACGTTTTCTAATTCCAATTAAACGCTTTTTAATTTCTTTTCAAGTAAATAAATATTTTAATGTTATAAATTATCATTTTATTTTAAAGTTTTATTCCTACTTAAATTGTAGGAACTGTAAAGATATGAAAAAAAAAAATATATTTTTCAAGTATAAATTCTACTACTTACCGAATATTTAGTCTATTCTAAAAAATAGAAACACGAATAAAAACACCAAAAATTATAAAAACAATAACACGGTGTCATTTAAACTTTACAAGAAATAAAAATGCTACCATTAAATCAAAAAAACGCACAATTTCACTTTTGTCAAAATATATTAAAACACTTTCAATTACAACAATTTTTTTTATATAGATGGTATTGTAAATAAACCTATTTTTTCGTGCTTTATAATTAATTAGAAAATAATACAACTGCGTTTAATGATGCGTTTACGCGTGCGGTGTCGATAGTGAAGACGCTAGAAACCGCTCTGTTACGATTATTACGTATAATTACGTAGTATCGATCGTGAAAGAAAATGTTACGGTCGATATATTAGAATGTAATAACCGATAAAAATATTTAATAGTATTTATCTTGAAGTACGAACGGATATAACTCAGAATTTTATGATACAACGGTGAAAATGAACCGCAGTATGTAAGAGACACCACGTTTTTTGGATGTTTATTAAATTTAAAGAAAAATGCCTAGCGAAACCGGTTTAAGCTAATAATATATATCAAATATAACATTTCTCTTGATGCTTGTTTATTATATAAAACCTTTTTAGATTTATGAGAATATTTGATATTTCAAATAATTTATATAAACTTTAAAATACACCACAATTTACAGTATTACATAGCTCACTTTAAAGGGTATTGAAAAATATCGCTCTATTATAAAAAAAATCACTGTTTATTTAAGAGCTTACAACAAATAAACTGTATCTCTAAAAAATTACAATCATAGACGTAATATTACATGTTATATCATAATAACCAGACAAAATGATAAATACACGAATTCAAACTTAAACGGTAACATCAAATTACAGCTGAAGTATGGCACGAGTGAAAGGCGGGTTAACGCCTGAAGATACAAAGTAACTTGAGATAAGTCGATAATTAATTGAAATAAAATTTAATTATATCAGATAATTCTGTACTTTTGATACTAATCTATCTATACATATAATAAAATTGTAACTAAGCCGAATCTGTACATTAAATACTTTTTGGAAAGTCTTATTGAAATAGACATTATTATCGATACAGAGGCAGAATCTATAGTTTTTAGAATTTTTGTCTGTTTGTTCGTCTGTCTGTCTGTGACCGCATCACGAGAAACCCACTGGACAGATTTTAATGAAATTTGGTATGATGATAGCTGATTATCCGGGTCAACATATAGGATACTTTTTACTGCGGGAAAATATCTCATCTCTGAGAAATCTATACTAAACGTTAAAATGTAACTAGGGACTTACCCGAGCGGGGCGAGGGTGAATCGCTAGTTATTGATAAAATCCGGGCATCGATTAAAGTTTAACCAATACTACCAATATAACCGATTTTAATCGACTACTTTACTTATATCGACTTTAAATAACTAGTGTTCTTTCTCACAGTGATGAAAATGCGACCATCATTATTGAAAACTAGACAAAAACAAATCTATCCCACGGGAACCGTACATTTTTCCGGGATAAAAAGTAACCTATGTGCTATTCCAGACTATCTATCTCTGTGCCAAATTTCACCCAGATCCGTTCAGCCGTTCTGGTGTGAAAGAGTAACAAACATCCATACTCACAAACTTTCACATTTATAATATTAATACGGATACATAGTAATAGAAAATAAATAAATAACGTAAATCAATGGACAAATCGATGTATGAATTTAAGAAGAAATTAACGCTAGTATAAAACAAATGGTCGAATTGGTCAAGTGTGACTGGAAACTTCGAGTAAAATAATGTTTCGTACACTACAAATGTGGCGATAATAAATTAAATTTTATATGTAATAGATACTTAAAATTTTAGCCTAGGAAACGATCCTTGAAAATCAAACTATTTTATCTTTCTATTCATCCACTGTTTGATAATAATATTGAATTTGATTGGTTATTCTTTTATACAGACCTACAAGCGACTCACCCTCATTTCGCTCGGGTTCGTCCCTAGGTACATTTTAAATTTTTTGGGCGGAACCTTAATTCTTTTACTAAAATAAAAGTAGCTTAAGTTATTCCATATAACATCAACTACCTGGCAGTGAAAGCCCTGTCAAAATCGGCCCAGCCGTTTCGAAGATTAGTCGGAACAAACAGATAGACAGACAGAGTATATAATTCCATATGCATTTAGTAAAAAGCTGTTATTTTAACATTACAAACAGACACTTCAATTTTATTTATCTGTATAGATTAAGATTAAGATTGCTACATTTTCAACCGACTTCAAAAAGGAGGAGGTTCTCAATTCGACTGTATGTTTTTTTTTTATGTTTGTTACCTCAGAACTCCGTCATTTATTAACCGATTTGGACAATTTTTGTTTTGTTTGAAAGGGTACTTCCAGATTGGTCCCATTTAAATTTCAAAAAAAAAATACCACCCCTAAGGGTGGAAAATGATGAATTTAACCTACTTCTAATTGTCATATTGACTTAAAACTTTGCAAGTATTTCTATTTCCGTTGATAGTACAGTGGTTCGGTGTTGTTGACCTGATCTGATGGCAAGGCCAGAAGGTGGATAGGTGGAACTCTTCAACGGCTAATAGTAGATACTTTGAGTTTGGGCTTATTTTGTTTGATTTGACAAGCCTAACACGTTAAAATCCTTACTTTGCTACTACTGTCTACACTAAAAAGGGAAAAATAAAAACTTTTTAGCAAAAAAATAAAAACCGAGTTCAAACAAAAGCACTAAAAAGTAAAAAATAACTGATTGGTAGTTTTCATTTACTATACATACCTAATCAAATATTTTCGAAGTCGGTGTGCTTTGGCTAAGTAATTAAAGCCTACCTATTAAATACATACCTAATCAAATATTTTCGAAATCGGTGCCAGCCCATACAAAGCAACGAGAGACTAATTCCTGCCATATCTTTTGCATAGGGGCCCAAAAATGCTAGTTACGCCACAGCCTATAGCTAAGATTTAATCTATACAACTACACATTACGGTGATTTACGCCAATCTCGCTGAGACTAGCCAACTGCGCAAAACATTTATAATGCACAAGTGTCCGCAGATATAGGTGCACTCTTTTAACCCTTAAAATCTGACGAAACGATAATTCGACACGCCCGGTGAGAGATAAGGTGCACAACGGAAAATTGAACATGCCCCCAAATACCAGGACTTCAACCCAGAACCTCCAGCCGTACATGCTAGTTAGTAGACCAATGAGGCCCAATTTGACGACACGTTTGGCTCAGTTTGTAGTGACCCTACTTGCAGTGCCAGCGATCACGGGTTCAAGTCCCGCTAAGGGCATTCATTTTTATTACGAGCACGAATGTTTGTACTCCGGTCTTGGGTGTTTATATTTATAATATGTATGTATTTAAAGTTTTTTATGTGTAGTGTATCAACTATCTGGTATCCATAACACAAGCTTCGTAGCTTACCATGGAACTAGATGGTGCTGTGTTTTCATGCCCATATACTCTCTATTAAGGAATATGGACCAAACAACCAAACTTACATTCAAAATCGTTTTACAACACACCCATATACATTATATATACATAACATACTGTATATGTACCTACATAGAATATGTGACTGTAAAAAAAAGGTTAATTTTCCTGCTGTATTTTCCGTTCACGTCAGTAAATGCAATAACATTGAATTAAATTACGCTAAGTACATTATTATGAACATAACCATTTGTTTATTTTATTCTGCAGATCTTGGTTGGTTTATTTAACAAAGACTAGCGACTTAGCCTCGCTTTGCCCGGGTGGGTACGTTTTTGTTTTTTTTTAAAAAAAAAGCCTAAATTACTCCTTATAAAATCAGCTATCTACCAGTGAAAGTCACGTCAAGATCGGTCCAGCCGCTTCGGATATTAGCCGGAACAGACAGACAGACGGACAAAATAAAAAAAAAACTGTTTTTCTTAAAAGTACTGCTAATAATTACATATGCATTTAGTGTGGATTCAGCCCTTTTAAACGTCCCACTGCTAAGCACGGGCCTCC